TACAAGATTGCGCCAATCGAGCTGAGAGCAACCCGACTTACGTCATAAAATACCAGAATGAGAGAGCAAGACGAACTCGAAAAGAAAAAGAGGAAGAATCGAACAAAAGGCAGTATTGCCAGGTTTTGAATCTGAAAAGGCACCAAATTTGTATTGGTGTATTTAATGGACTTTATATGTCGGCCGCTGTGGTGTAGTGGTAAGCAGTGCGCGCTTCCACTCCGTAGCACCTGGGTTCAAGCCCTAGTCAAAGCAACATCGCAAAAAAATTTAGAAAAAAAAAGTTTTTTCTTAACAGCGGTCGTTCCTCGGCAGGCAATGGCAAACCTCCGAGTGTACTTCTGCCATGAAAAACAGCTTATCATAAAAATATAATCGTCGTTCGAAGTCGTAAAACTCTAGATCCCTCCGCTTTGTCGCACGCCACAAGTTGGAGGAGAAGCTCGGCAAAACACTAGCATATGTGTAAGCGCCAATCTATTATTATTATTTTACTATGCATACACAATTTTATTGTAAGGATGCCGATTCAAATTAATGAAAATCAATGTTTCTCGCACGACGGTAGATTTCTTCTGGCATGATTGAAGGTGCTTCCACATATTTTGTTGTCGCGTATGATTGTCACTGTGCCATGAGTTTGTTAAATTTTTGGTAAACTTGCTTGCAACACTTAGCGGTCCGCGAACGGCGCCACCTTTATTTTCTGCAGCGTGACCTTTTGGCAGCTGCAAACAGTGCTGCCGTTTGCAACTTTTCGAGCGAAGAAAAAACAAATCAAAAGTGCAGTGTTTCAGAGTGACTTGGGAGGAAAAGTGAAGTGATTATTGAATTGACGACTTTCAAGCACAATTAGGGGTGTGGTGCTACCGATTTGCTTTATTTATCTACAGATTGGTAGTCGATTATTTTTTGATCACAATTAAAGTAATATTTAATCTTTAACCTTTATTAATTTTAAATTTAATGTGTCCCTGTGCAAACTTTGTTCTACAATTTCTTTTAGATGTCAATGAATCAAAACTTGTGGATAAATATTCAAAAGTTACAGTGTATTGTTTATGTAAAAACCCAAATATAATTAATCGATTATCGATTCGCCGCAATAACTTCATCACCAGATTCACTTTTCCTAGATCTCGATGCGGCCTTTTTCCTGTAAAATTTAGGATGTGCGAAAACTAAATTAGAATATTTATTTTCTTCAAATATTTACTAAATAATTATGAAACTTCATCCATCCATTCATTTCTATGCGCTTTTCAACTATGCATGTGAAAATGAAAATGTCTATCATGGATCAAAATTTTATAAGGCGTCTTGTTGGTAGATTTTTGCAAAAAGTTAAGTTGCCATACTTACAACTTAACATGCAGTGTATTGAAGATAGTTGATTTTGGTTAAATATTTATATCATTTATTGTAAATAAAATTTGTTACTTTGGAGATAAAATTAATTTGGAGAAAGTGAAATGAAGGCTTCCAAAGTAAAGTGAAAAACTTCAATTGACGTGACGGCGGCAGCACTATTATATAATTTTTTTTTCAAAACCAATAACTATTACTTACTAAAAAATTGTTTATTATAGCTTAAACTTATTGTAACCAATAGAGGTATGTTGTACAAATACATATAAATAGAAGTTCACAAAAGTTGATATATTTAAAACTATTCGCCCATTTTAATAGCAAACTTTTTTTATGAGGAGGAAGCTTCGAAAGATTAACCCCGTCAGTGTGAGACTTTAACCCAAACTAAAAATCCTACCGTCATGTACCGTTCCCCTCCCGGTTCCGCCGTCAAGGATTTCTTCGGGATAACAACACTGTGTGATTGCTAAAGTTATACATCTAGTGAAGCACAAAAAAATATGCATACTTAAAATTAGGCGGTATTCCTCTCAAATCAAGGTCTAAAAACGCGTTTTTCATAGGCTGAGCCTTATAATTGATCGGAACTTAATTTCTGTTTCTCCGATGAAAAATATTTACAGTGCGTACACGGTAACCGCAACCGTCAGTACGTGCAATTCCTTAATTAATTCAAGTCTGTAAAACAAAACATTGTGCATAAGTGTAACTTCAAAACAATTTAACCTCAATACCTACAACATTCTTTTTTTATGCATACCACACACTCAAATTTTGAATTCTTTGCCTTTCTCTGACTTACCAGTATTCTGGAAAAACTAAAAACTAGTGTTTCAGTTAAAGTGATTTGTGACGAGTTTAAAATAAACAAATCAACTGTTATAAGAATTAGTCAAAATTAAAGCAGAAGCCAGCGTTGCCGAAAGCGTTCGCTGGAAAATCGACACTTTACCCTAAAAAATCGTAATTTCGGCCAAAAAATCGTCAAATTTTTGTTTATAGTATTAATAAAAAATAAAAGGAATTACATACGTATGCACAAAAACTAAGCAATTGTGTTTTCTTAAAATTACCTTCCTTTAACTTAAATTTATTTGAACAAATTGAGTAAAACGTCTGAATTTTTAAGAAAAAACATTTGCCTAGGTTTTATGCTTACGGCCCAATAAATATGGCCTCACATTACAAAACCAAATGGAACCCACATTGCATATGGGTTAATAAAAGGGGATTTGCAATTGTTAACGAAAATATAAAATTACAATTTAAAACACAACTGCTTTTAAATAGTTGAACTCCACTGGCTTGAAGTTTTTGAAGATTTTGATCCGAGCTTGGTACTCGGTGTTCGGTAATTTTTCCCAATGTATTTTGTTTGTGTAAAATTATTTTATTGTCGATGTACCGGTTACCGAATTATCGTGAAGGAAGCTTGATAATTTTTCTGGTAGTTGGTAAACTGCAATCAGCTGTTCGATATTTATGCAATTTTAAATACGCTCATTGCCGAAAGGCATAACGCATATGAGTAAGTAAAATTCCTTAAATTTTCTGTTACAATTTAGTTTTTTTAGGAAAAAAGCTACGAATCCACTGTTGATAAACATAGTTTACCAGACTAACAAAATAAAACTGAAAAGGACGTTCACTGCTGATAAAATTACCGAGTCTCAACCAGAAATTTACCAAAACTACCAAAATTGATGTGACGACCCTTAGTGTAACATTAGCAGTTATTAACTGATAGATAATTTTGACTGAAAAAAATCCCCCTCCTACTTTTTTGCCTCTTTAAAAACAGTGTCAGCAGTGCAAATTTGGTTTGGTTTGGTTACAATTCTAGAACAAATTTAATATAACTAAAAGCACGTGCACATCCGATGAGGCGGCTCTTGGGGTGTTTGAGAGAAAGATTTTGCGGAAGATTTACGGTCCTTTACGCGTTGGCGACGGCGAGTACCGCAGACGATGGAACGATGAGCTGTATGAGCTTTACAACGATATGGACATAGTGCAGCGAATTAAAATACAGCGGCTCCGCTGGCTTGGTCATGTCGTTCGAATGGACACCGACGCTCCAGCTCTGAAAGTATTCAACTCGGAACCCGCTGGTGGTAGCAGAGGAAGAGGGAGACCCCCACTGCGATGGAAAGATCAGGTGGAGAAGGACTTGGCTTCACTTGGCGTTTCCAATTGGCGTCAGTTGGCACAGAGGAGAAACGACTGGCGTGCTTTGCTGAACTCGGCCAAAATCGCTTAGGCGGTTACAGCGCCAAAAAAGAAGAAGAAGAAGAAAAGCACGGTAGCAGAACAAAACTAGATAAATGCATGGTTGTATTTTGGATAACGTTTTCCTGTAGAAATTTTTTTACATACATACATATGTAATTTAGTGGGAAAACTAAAATAAAAAATCTTCATTACTGCGGGAAAATCGTCAAAACGCCATTGAGCTAAAAAAAATGTCAAAATGACGACGAAATCATCAATTCTGCAATGCTGGAAGAAGCAAAGATAAAAAAAGTATAGAAGCGGGACTTGAGAAACGTCTAACTCTAAAACAGTGCGAGTACCCAAAAAGGATTTACACAAACGGTTTAGTTTTGAGAGAAAGTACAATGGGCCGTATGAATAAAAATAAGCAATTGCTTTTTCTTAAAATTTCAGATCTTTTACTCAATGTATTCAAACAAAATTGAAGGAAAAGGTATGCAATTTTAAGAAAAAGCAATTGCTTAGTTTTTATTCATACGGCCCATTGTTCCCATATCTTGCCCATTTTGTGAAAGCTAAAGTCCACAGGTTACATAAAAATAACCTACTGAATCTTTTGCCGGACAAGACATACATTGCTGACGTGTCTGGACCATTCCTCGCTTGAGCAAATGCATCTGGGACGCACAAAGTTTTTCTTCTTATTCCTATTTGGCGCTATAACCGCCAAAGCGATTTTGGCCGAGTCCAAAACAGTACGCCAAGTCCTTCTCCACTTGGTCCTTTTATAGCAGTGGGGACTTCCTCTTCCACCATAGCGAGCCGCGTTGAATACTTTAAGAGCTGGAGCCTTTCTGTCCATTCGGACGACAAGACCTAGCCAGCACTATGCCTATATCATAGTAAAGCTCATACAGCTCAAATACCCGTAAATTTTCCGCAAAATCCTTCTCTCGAAAACTCCAAGAGGAGCTTCATCAGATGTTTTCATTGTCCATGCCTCCGCGCCATACACCCCTACAGGTCAATTGCCGACTCAGTCCAAGGTGGCACTTGTTGGCAAAAGTGATTCTCCGTTGGATTTCAAGGCTGACATTATTATTGGTGTTGATGCTGGTTCCCAAATAAACGAAGTCGTCTGCTTTTTCAAACTTGTAGCTGTCAACAGTTACGTGGGTGCCAAGACGCGTATGCCTTGTATACGCCAGCAACTGTAGGCTCTTGTAAAGCATCGTGCCTGAGCGGTTCAGTTCTGCGACTCTTATTATATTCTCCAAAATCAGATTGAAGAAATCACATGAAAGGGATTCACCTTGTCTGAAACCTCGTGTGGTATCAAACGGCCCAGAGAGGCCCTTCTCAATACTCATGGAGATTGTGGTATTGCTCAATGTTATTTTACACAGTCATATTAGTTTCGCGGGTATATGAAATTCAGACATCACGAAATAAAAACAACTTCTTTTCGTGCTGTTGAAGGCGGCTTTAAATTCGACAAACAGAAGGCATGTGTCGATCCTATTCTCACGGGTATTTTCCAAGTTTGGTGTATTGCGAATACGAGATCAATGTTGGATTTGGCAGACCTGAAGCCACACTGGTAAGGTCCAATCAGTTTGTTGACGGTAGTTGGCGCATATGGCAGGGTCGCCTTTCTTGTGGATTTGGCAGAGCACACTTGAATTCCATTCGGCGGGCATGCACCTTATTAGCTGTCGTACTTGAATCAGTGATGCCAGTCATTCTCTACTAAATTACCTACGAAAATCGGCGAAAAATCCCCCAATTACCCACATCTTAAAACTTTATTCCCAAAGAACTGAAAACATATATTTCAATAGTAAAAATGTAACATTCATATAGTTACCTTAGGTAAGGTTAGGTTGAAGTGGCTGCTAGGCCCAGAGGGCGCCAGCACACTTAGGCCCGATCAGGGCCCATTGTGATACCACATGGATCCAAAAAAAAAAACCCTACTCCTAAAACCAGTTTGTGGAGTCTGCAAACCTTAGCAACTGCCGTATTCCAAACTTAGCAGTCGCGCTTAGATCGTCTAGAAGACCTATACCTAGGAATTTCTGTCTTTTTCTGCCCAGTGCTGGGCAATCGCAGAGTAAGTGCCTTATTGATTCAGGCTCTTTTTCGTCGTGGCAGCTCCTGCAGTAGTCGTTGTGACTAACCCCGAGGCGTTCTGCGTGCCTTCCTATCAGAATATGTCCTGTGAGCAGACCAATGGCCAGTGACATATCGCCTTTATTGAGAGTGAGAATTTCTCTCGATCTCCGTACATCCCATTTTGGCCATGTAAGCTTCGTTGTATTACAGTTTTCAGTGCGCTCCCATCTGGAGGCCGCTTCTTCAAGGAAGTTCTCCCTTAGTAAGAGCTTGCAGGAAGCGAGTGGCATACCCACCCTCTTCCAGGCTGGTGAAAGTGGAGAGGAAGTACCCGCCCTTGCAAGCTCGTCTGCCTTCTCATTTCCTGGTATGTCACTGTGCCCCGGTACCCATACCAGGTGCAAAGCGAACTGCTCTGCCATCACGTTAAGTGATTTGCGGCAGTTGGCAACTGTTTCCGAATTTATAGTGACAGAGTCAAGCGCCATAAGGGCCGCCTGACTGTCTGAGTATATATATATTTCCGTAGTGGCGATAACAGCTAGTTTTAGGCTGTTAACGGCTTCTTGTATGGCTGCCAATTCGGCTTGAAAGACACTACAGTGGTCAGGTAGTCGGAATGATCTTTTTATTCCCAATTTCTCCGAGTAGACGCCTCCTCCTACCCTATTTTCTAGTTTGGAGCCGTCCGTGTAGAATCTTATGGCATCTCTAGACCCCGGAACTCCTTCGAGCCATGATTCCCTGCTAGGTAGCGTTACGCTATAACCTTTAGTGAAAGTGAGCCTTGGTACACAGTAGTCCTTTGTACTCGGTAGTTGTCGGTTTCTCAGAATTGTAGTGTGACCACAGCGAGCCGCTTTCCAGCTTTTAAGCCCCTGTAGTCTTAGGGCTGCAAACGCAGCGTATTGTCGTCCCATAATATCTATGGGTATGATGTTGAGGATCGTATTCATTGCCATAGTAGGTGTTGTGCGGAGAGCACCACTAATGCAGATCAGGGCCGTTCTCTCCACTTTTTGTAATTTAATAATGTTTACTTTCTTCTCCAGCACTGGCCACCATACCACTACCCCGTACAGAATTATGGGCCTCGCCACGACGGTGTATATCCAGTGCACTAGCTTCGGGGTTAAACCCCATTTTTGGCCGATTGCTCTCCTGCAGCTGTATAGGGCAACCGTGGCCTTCCGCACCCGCTCTTCGGTGTTTTGAATCCAGCTTAATTTTTTATCTAGGACTATCCCCAGGTATTTAGCGGATTCGCTTAATTTTAGTGTGGTCTGTGCCAGCCTTGGTGTTATCAATGGGGGGATTTTGTACCTTCTTGTGAACAGTACAAGTTCTGTCTTGCTTGGGTTTACCCCTAACCCGTTATTTTTTGTCCAACTCTCGACTTCCTTCAGTTTTACCTGCATAATGTCACATAGAGTCTGTGGAAATTTCCCACTTACTGTTAGTGCAAGATCATCCGCATACGCAATAACCTTACAGCCACCCCCCTCCATGCCACACAGCAGTGAGTTTACCGCTGCGACCCATAATAGAGGGGATAGGACTCCCCCTTGCGGGGTGCCCCTCTCTACGAACCTGGTCAACGATACCCCCGCCAGCTCCGCCCGGACCACCCTGCATCTCAGCATTTGGTCTACGAGCGCAACTAAGCCCGAGTCGATGCCCAGGCCCGTCAGTGCTGCCGTTATCGCGCCCGGCATGATGTTGTTAAAGGCGCCCTCTATATCCAGGAAGGCTGCTAGCGTATATTCTTTGATGTCTAGTGATCTCTCTATATACGACACTATTTCATGTAGCGCCGTTTCTGTAGATCTACCTTTCGTATAAGCATGTTGTGTGGTAGAGAGTCTGTCACCAACCGACTCTCTGATACGGACCTCCACCAGTCTCTCCATAACCTTCAATTGAAATGACGACAAGGTGATAGGCCTGAAATCCTTTGGGTTATTGTGGGACACCACTCTTGATTCCCTCCACTTTCTAGGGATATGGTTAAGAGCTAATACTCCCTTAATTATAGCGTGTAGCCACGCTAAGCTTAGCTGAAGTGTTTGCTGCAGCTGTATGGGGGCAATGCCATCCGGACCTGCTGATTTATAGGGCTTAAATGTCCCAATAGACCAGATGACCTTTTCCCTAGTGAGGAAATCTCCAGTGACCGAAAGATCTCCAGTTAGATGTGGCTGTACCGGCATGCTATCCGTGGCACCCGGGAAGTGTGTGCAAAGAAGCAGATCCAGTGATTCCTCCTCGGTCTCTGTCCAGGAGCCGTCAGGTCTTTGCAAGCATCCTGGGGCTTTCTGGGCAGTACCTGAGAGTATCTTTCTGAGCCTGCCTGCCTCTGAGATAGACTCCACCCCATTGCAGAAGTCTTTCTATGAGGTTCTTTTCGACCTTCTTAGGAGCTTCTTGAACTCCCGTAACGTTGTCTTGTAGGTCTCCCAATGTCCCTCACTACCAGACGCAGTAGCCTGATTGAAGGTTTTCCTGCAGTTCTTGCGTGAAATCCTGATTTCTTCATTCCACCAGGGTGGCTTTTTCCTACCCCGGTGCTGCTTTTTGGGGCATGCAATGTCTATTGCCTTACTGCAGGCCCCCTGTAAAATGGTCGACAAGATATTCCAGCTCCTCTAGGTTTGCTGGAGTAGCCGGCTCTCTATCTTGTGGCAAAAGCCTATCCAGCTATTTCCGATACCTATGCCAGTTGGCATTTCGCAAGTTTCTAGTTAGAGGAGCCTTGGGCGTTTCCCCTAATACCTCGAATTGGATATATCGGTGGTCGGAAAAGGAGTGCTCCTCAAGCACCTTCCACTTCCCGACCAGACATTCCGCATTCTCAGAGATAAGGGTAACGTCCAGAACTTGCCTTCGGGATTTTGTAATAAAAGTGGGATCATTCCCCCTATTTGCAATAACAAGCTTAGAACAAAGTATGAAATTAAAAAGTGACTCACCACGTTCGTTATCATCGGAGCTGCCCCAGGTGTGATGGTGAGCATTCGCGTCACCTCCCAAAATTAGCGCCTCTCTCGTGCTGGCCACTAGGTCTTTAATGCAGATAGTTGGCACCTCCTTGTCGTGCGCTAGGTACATGGATGCCATCTTAATTGGTCGTCCGTTTACACTTAGACTTACCGCTGTTGTGTCCTCGTCGCTAAATTGTGGAAGAAAGAGACACTTTAGTGTGATACTTATCAATATGCACGTCCTTGGTTTCCCCGTTGAGGCTCCACTTACCAGTCTGTAGCCCGGCGCTTTCAGCCCACAAATGTTTTGTCCCACCACCCAAGGTTCTTGGATTGGGACGATGTCGGCTGCCCCTTTAGCTGTTAGATGGAGCAGCAGTGCAGCTGAAGCTGCTTTACAGTAGTGAAGGTTAATCTGCAGTACCTTCACCATCTTGGCCGTTACCGCCCACGTCGCCTATTAGGGTGGAGTTGACCGCGTCTTCCGACATCTCGATCAACTCCTCCTCCGTATAAAGCCGAAGCATGCGTCCGACCCCCAGCGAAGACGTCGATGAGGCATAACCCCCGGTCAGGTCGTCCATCGGATCAACCTGCTCGGATTCTTCCTCCATCTCCACGTCGCTGTTGGCCTCTTCGGGCTCTACCTCCGCGATCAGGTTCTTCGCTGCGTTTACGTCGTTGCTGTAGACCTTAATTTTGGCCATGTCACAGCCGTAACGTATGACCCCTCTTTTTGCTCCAACAACTCTATGGAGTCCTTATTTAGAAGCAGAACAACCTGCATCGTCGCTTTACCGCTTTCGTTAATTTTTACCACCATCCAATTGTCGGTAGGTAGCTCCGGGTTATAGAACCTTATGGTTTGCAGGATCCTTTCTGGCTCCGCTGGCCTGCAAGGCAACCATGCTCTCGCTCTCGGTCGCACCGGTAGGTCCTTGAAGTCGACCGCCCTGAGCTTCGCACCAGGGTAGACTTCTCCAATACCTGCGACTGTTTTCTTGTAGATCTCCGCTGATCTAGCATCCTCGCATGCTATAACGCGGATGTTATTTTGGAACCACCCCGCTCCCTTGCAGGTTGGCGGAGGTCCCGGATTCTCCAACATAATGTTGATAGCAATGTCGGCCATCGCGGCCTTAACCCACTTCCATTGCTGCCTCAAGGTGAGGCTGTCTTCATTGCTCTCATCAATGACGCCGAGCAGGATCTGCTCCTGGGCTACTTCAGCAAAAGAAGGCCCCTGCGTTCTGACCCTCTTTGCATGGTTGGGCGTAAAGGACTGCCTTTGCCCAGTCGATTTCTGTGAGGATCTCCTTCACATGATCTTCTTTCGCCTTGCTACACAGTTCAGGCGTTGCGGTGAACCTTTGCAGGATTCGAGCAGCCAGCTTCCTCTGTCGATAGCCCGCTGCAGCTGGTTCTGGCCTCTGGTCAGGCCTCGTGAAGGCCGTGGCCCGGGGCCTGCGCCCCAGATTCAGCCTTATCCCCGGCTGCAATTTGCATGC